GAGTGGCTTTTATCTCTTATTACTGTTCCTTAATTTAGACCTTATGTGTCTTATCACTTTCTGAATTTCTGTTTTTTAGGCTCAATTGTACACCTCCCTGGAACTGTTCATGCTTTTGATTGGACATTTAAGGAGCATCTAGATGGAGGGTAAGTAACATGACAACTTAATCTAGTGCTCGCTCTGATCTTCAAAAAAAATCTCCATAATTTGATGTAATTTTTATTATGATGAAGTGCGGTGATTCATTTTGTTGGTCTTATTTTTGATGATTGATTTCTTCTCTCTTTTCTTGTTGTATAGTAGAGTTGCTAGCTCCATATTACAATCACCACCATATTTACAAATGGGCTATGGTAATGTCAATTTTGCATAGGGTAATGTGAGTACCATGGAATTTATTCTTAAGGATGTCAGACATGATGCCTCAGGTATCCTATAATTGGAAGAACGTTTGATGTTGGAGATGTTATTAACCAACCAACGTGGTTGTGCTTTGTAAGAGAAGACGCAAGAGAAAGTATGCGCTTGTTGAGATTTGCATTCCTTGCTAATGTTGTTCATGGACAGTTAGTTTGTCTTTTGTTGCTTGTCATCTAAATTTTTGGATTTGTAATTTTTTGTGAATTGTTGACAGTAAAGAGTCATGCTCATCCGGTGCAGGTTATATATCGATGGCATCGGATGATTATTCATTTTTTTTCTTTTTCAAATTTTGTAATCTTTTAACATTCTGCAAAATGTCGTCTTCTTATTAGTTCAGTGAGGGGGTGAGGCAACCAAGAATCCCCTAGCAAAGTCGGGAAATATTTGTGATGGGAAAGTATAAATATCAGAGAAAAACAATGTAGGAACAAGGATAGTCTGAAGCAAGAAGAGCATACAGGTGGGCCTAGGAAGTCTACAAGGTTGTCTAATCCATCAAGTTTAACACCAACATATTACTTCCCCACTACTACCCTGGACAAGTCTGGTCCAGATGACGGTTGGTTGTTTGAAGAAGGATATGCCTCTAGTGTGATGAGTTGAGGTTTCAGTACTTTCTACCAAACTTCAGGGCTCAAAATAGTACATCTTCAGGTTATATATTTTTGACTGAAAATACTTTTGATAGATATCCGTTCCCCAAATTACTCGTTGATGCCACATGTGAGAGCTGCAAGCATGATGGTCCTATTGAATTTTCACCCAACAACAACTTTTTCCGTGAAAAGCTTGAGTTCCACCAATCTCATAAGTTTTCCTAAATTTTCTCCAGACTTCAACGGGGAATGCATATCTCAGGATTCATTTTATGTTAGGAGGTATGGAAAAGAATGTGTTTACCAAGACGAAAAGAAGATTTGTCAACAGATGATGAAAAATTTGAGCTAAAGGATGATGCTAGCAATTGCTGCAATAACTTGTCCTCAGGTAAGCCAATGGATGCCAATATAGTCCCTCCAAGGAACCAAAAGATAGAACTTCAGAAATGGAGGCCCTAAAAGCACCTTGTTCTCCTGAAAATGCAGAAGAGACATTGTCATATGCGAAGATCCCCTGTAAATATGAGTTCGGTATTGATGAAACGAAGTAAGACAATTTGAATTTCACCCCCTTCTTATTACTTAGCGTGGTCTACTCAAAATCTTTGTTACAAGACTTTCATTACTTTTGTGAATTTCAGATATAAGCAAGATACTCAAACTTCTATTTCATGTCAAAAAGGGCGTAAAGGTACATTTCTAACTTTTTATTTCTTGACCTTTTTTCTTGAACTGTTATTTATCTTGCCTTTGTTATTTCTCAACAAGGTTTGAATCAACATCAATCAGGGTTTTCATGGATACCATTTTTGCAGTTACAAAATAGAAGGTTCTGGACCTAAATAAGGAAGGATTGGAAGTAAAGTAGAGAAGAATAGTGCCGACCCATCTTGCTATGTGATGCTTAAAAGCTTCTGCAGCTTCCATGTGCAAGTACTAGAGGAATGATCTGCACAGGGCATTGTAAAAAAGGTATGATAGTTCTTGACATTTGGTTTATAAAGGGATCCTATTGAAACATTAATTGAACTGAAAAATGAAATTAATCTTTGGCTTGTTTCAATACTTTTGTGCCCTATCGCGTTGTTAGAAATTATGGAGGTGTCTTTTACATGGCAAGGCATAGTTATTGTGTATCCTATCTTCTTCTTTTATCAATGTGTGTTATGTTTGTGATTGTGTTTAATTGTGTAATAGTGTGCATATTTTTTTTTTATCACTATGTTTTTGTGCATTTTTATGTTGTTTTTTTTTTGTGTGGGTGTGTTTATTAGGGTTTGTGAGTGTGTGTTTTTCCTTACCTCAATTTGTTTTTGTGTATTTGTTTTTATGTGTATTGTGTGTGGGTGTGTGCGTTTTTATTGTAATGTTTGCGCATCTTTATTTTCTCAATGTGTTTTTGATTTGTGTAATGTGTTAGCGTGCGTTTATTACCATGTGTATTTTTTATGTTGTATGCGTGTGTTCTTTGTGTTTTAGTGTGTGATTTTTATGTGTTAGTGTGTTTCTTTTTATGTTTATATGTGTATTTTTATAGTGTGTGCCTATTTTAATGTTTTTGACAATTTATTTACGGTTTAAGGATATGACAATCCTTCTTAGTTATACTTGACCCTAAGGTAGAGCTAGAGGCAAGACCACAAGGCTACAAGTAGCCAATCTGTTTACAAATTAGCGGGTTAGGTACCTAATTGCCGGTTGTAATCAGGTTGGGTAATACCACTCAAATTAATAAAGTGGGTTAGATATGGGTGTCCAATGGGTTGGAACATAAGTAAGTACTCATCCTTAATCCTCACTACACCAATGCAAACACCCCCACTTTCATCCTAATAAGATTTCTCCCACATTCTTCAATGATCAATTGAAAATTCCATTAATATATTTCAACCAAATGAAGATATATGCTCTAGTAGATCACTCCAGGTCAATGTCGGTTGGACATAGATAGATCACTCAAAGTCTACATTTATTAATGCGTCTATGTGTGTTTTATTGTGCATTGTGTATTTTTCTTCTATCAACATGTGTGTTTATTCTTGCGTTTTACCATGTATTAGTGCGTGTATTTTTTTGTTATCAATATGTTGTTGTGTGTTCGTGTGTTTTTATTAGCGAATGTCTATTTTTCATCAATTTGTTTTTATGTGTTTCTATGTGCACAATGTGTGTGCATTTTCTTTTATCAACATATTTTGTGCATGTGCTTTTAGGTGTAATGTGTGTGGGTGGGGTTGTTTTTATTATAGTGTGTATTTTTTCTTTTTACAATGTGTTTTAATGTTTCTTTGTGTGTATAGTGTGTGTGTGCATATTTTTATATTATCTAAGTGTCTATGTGTGTGCCTTTTGTGTTTCAGAGTGTGCCTTTTATGACCAAATCCGTTACAACTATTTGTGAATTTTGTCAAATGCATGGAAGTCCGCTTTATCAAGCCTTTTAGTTTTAGAAGTTGATACACTAATGACTTTGTTTAAGAATTCTTGTATGCAGTTGGTTGATATTTCAGAGCAGGTATATGTTTACATGCGGGTCCATTTAGATCATTTGTTGGGCCATTTCGTTTAATGACTTTGTTATGTTTGGTCAAAAATTGATGGAAAGCTTACCAATCTCAATAAAGAGGTAGCCATTGAAGACTAAGCACCGCAAGACACTACTTGTGGTTGGTAAGGAGTGCTACCTGTTGCTTCTCAATACATACATCCGTACGTATACACAATACTTATATATGTATATATCCATACACATATATCTTCTTCCTCTAGTCATATCATTTCCTATATATATCGAAAATAATTTGTAGCTTGTACACAAGAGCCAATTTCTTTTAAACAGCCTGATATTTTGACAGGGTTCCACAATTTTAATAATTTAAAACTCTCTTTGAGTAGTTTCATCCCACTGATTCTACCTTGTGTTTGGTGAAGTTTTATACTTTATGCCGATAATCATGTCGGTATGTACATTTATCTGAAAATATTGTGGATCTTTCTAACGATTCTAAATTTGATACATGGTCGATGTACTATTAGCCACTATTCATGTCCGTCTCAATTTTCAGCTGGAAAATGGTGGAGATGGCTTGTTTACGAGCTTTTGCAAGAATGTTGTCTTTTCTAGCATTGGACAAACTGCTGCCAAAATTGGAGATCATCTACGGGTGAAGGTTTTGTAATGCTTAGCTATGTAATTTTTTTTGGTCTCATTTTCACTTTGTTCTGTTGGATTATATATGATGTTATTGACTAATGTAACTTTTTCTTCCTAGAGTGCAGATGCTCAGCACAAAACTGCTAGCTAAACGACCAAAATATTGGGTTTGAGTTTTAGTGTATATGTCTTTTGTGTCCTGCCTTATTCCAGTTATTCTTCGTCATTGATTTATCTCACATGCTAATTTACCTAATGAAAGACATCAATGTTTACTTGTGCTTGACTATTGCTTTTTTACATTTATTTCTTTGTGTCTCAAAGGTACTTTCTTGTTGGGTTTCAGGGTCTTGCTAAACAAGCCCGGTGTTTGTCAAATATGCCATGGGAGTTTGTCTGACAGAGTCATCTGCAGTATGTGAAAGAAGAGGTCTTCTTTTGATACTATCACCATTCCTGAAATGGAGGTATAATAGAGTGTTGATCCTGTTTTCGTTAATTGTGATTTTTATCTTTTACCGAATATTTTTAGTTTGCTTGCCTAGTTATTTCCGTACTTATGATGGGCATACCTTATCATGACCAAAATCCTGTTTGTGGTATTGGCAGCATATTCGCTGGCACTTTTTTGCTGAAGATGATCACCATGGGATTACACTGTTGCAGTTGCCACGGTTAGAATTCTTCGACATCATTTGAATTCCCATACAAAGCAGTAGTTTATTTTGCAACTTTTGAGATGTCCTTCTAACTTACTCTGGAACTTTTGCAGGCCTGCATAAATATTTTGTTTGGTTTTTATGTGATTTGGAGTTTCTTGAATGTTGGAATATTGCAGCCGTTTCATTTTAGTGGAGGTAATGAGTCATATGTTGCAATATTTTTGATATTTGACTATGAGTTAGCCAATTTTACAGGTTTGCAAATGCATCAGAATTATACAGACGTAGATCTCCTCACAGAAACATGATGCTTTATGAATGTAAAGTTCGGACTGATATTCCACATCTTCCATTAAAATTAGTGATTGGCATACACTTGGGTATTATTAATGTTCACGCCCAGACACGCTTATTTAAACAAGTAAATGACAAATATATCTATATGGTGCTCACATAGTCGGGAACATTTTGTCCGCCTGTTAGTGCTTCTGCACAATCCTCTAGCTAGGGAGCTATTGGCAACTTAGATTTTGACAGGAAGGGTTTCTGATCTTTACCTCGTTCTGGAGTTTTCATAGATTACCTTGAAATGTCAAAGCAAAGGTTAAAAATATTGTATCAGTCTCACTATATTTATGCTTAAATTCAGGAAGGTGTAATCACAGAGACATCACCCTTGCCAGCAGTCGACCCTCTCACCTGTCATCTCCATCCTATTTCCTTCCTCCCCTTCTCTCTCTAAAGCAAACATTCCTTTTCTAATGTCCATCACCACCACCCACCACTTATCTATCACATCTACCGTCCACTACATTCATTACCATCACCACCTAAACCACTCATATCCACCACCCAGCCGCTCATCTCTATAACCACCAAACTATCACCTTAGCCCCACATTTTCTTACATTTTTTCATCATTTTTCCACACGCGACCTCCCATCGGCACTACCAAACATCACAGCCAGTAGCCACCCATCAACACTTCCTGTCACCTCCCGCCCCCAATCATCACTCAACTCCCACAACTTCCCTTATTCTGTCCTTCACGCAGCGCAATCAACCAAATGTTGGAATGGGATGGTAATACCTCCAGTCTTATTCCTGCATACAATCCATATGAAAGAATGATGATGGCCATTCCTATTCAGTTCTAGTGTAATTCAATTTTAGGACTCATCCCATTCTGTCCAATTTTCAATCATCAAATCAGATGAGTGCAAATTTGACGCACAAGTGCAGCCATTTGAAGGCAAGGACACAAGGATATTTGATGTGGTAAATGAAAGTATAATAGTCACAAGTTATATCATTAGCATGCACTACTAGAGGTTGATATGTAATTCAAGTTTATGCTTATGATATTTGTTTAGCTTTATCTTCCATGTTTTATTGTCATTGGCACAAAAATATGGTTATCAATCAATAATATGTATTCATGTATATAATATATGTATAGAAGTGAAACTGTATATGTCCTATTAGATGAATCAGTTAGGTTTTCTATGCTACGTTGCAGAAATGGTGGAGTTCTAATACTAATAGAAAAGTATTGTTAAAAATTACCAAAGATTTGATAGAATTTAATAGTTGAATGATTTGTAATCTTAACCAGTCATGTTCTAGCACAGTAGATCCTACTCCATTCTTATTTAAGAATTGACGAATGATGCTCAAATAAACAAATTTATGGCTATTCGTGATTTCATCTACTCTATCTATAACTGAGTGATCTACCAGATTGTGAAGTAAATCTTTTTCACCTGTTCTCTTTTGCACTTGCAGGTTCTGTGTTATTTGGCACCGCTCTGTACAAAGAATATCAGCTTGTTTTGGCAAGGTGAGGTAATTTTGTAGTGTGCTTTTTTGGGTCCTGTGAAGTGTTAGTTTTGCTAATGCTTACAAATTTATTTGGAGTTGAGTGAAAATGTTTGGGAAACTAATGGTGTAGGAGTGTGTGATGTCCCTTACAATGAAGTGACAGTGGCTGAGCTCCCAAACTATCTGGAAAAAAAAATGAACTCCATGTAATACCATGCCTTAGATTGTGAAGTAAATCTTTTTCACCTGTTCTCTTTTGCACTTGCAGGTTCTGTGTTATTTGGCACCGCTCTGTACAAAGAATATCAGCTTGTTTTGGCAAGGTGAGGTAATTTTGTAGTGTGCTTTTTTGGGTCCTGTGAAGTGTTAGTTTTGCTAATGCTTACAAATTTATTTGGAGTTGAGTGAAAATGTTTGGGAAACTAATGGTGTAGGAGTGTGTGATGTCCCTTACAATGAAGTGACAGTGGCTGAGCTCCCAAACTATCTGGAAAAAAAAATGAACTCCATGTAATACCATGCCTTAGAACTACCGGAAGGGCATATTTGTCGCTGTTTTCTTGGGAAGTTACCATTAGATCCTACTTTTCCCTTTGAAGAACTATTAAGTCCCATCAAACTTCTGTTAAGACAACTAGTCCTGCTTTCTATAGTTTATTCCAAGATATTCTAGACTCCATTCACATGTACTTATTACAGCTTTGCCCTTTTAATGGAAACACTAATGACACTTTCACTCATGATTTCGTAGTCAACTTCAATTTAATGTGAAAGTAAAGAAGCAGATGGTAGGACTACCACTAAATGGGTGTTATTTTATAGAGAGCTTGACAAATTATATAAATTACATTTTTTTGGAAAAAGTGCGGCCTTTTATTTTGGTGACATGCATAATAGTGCAATTGGCTATAATTCAACTTGTTCTGCTTTCTAACGAACTTCTGGTGGATATCAAAACATGTTTGTGCTTTAATGTTACTAGTAATGAAAGAACCGATTTGAGTCTCAAATGTATACCGTGAAATTAAAACAAATCTGTGAGTATGAAGAAATTAGGACTTTAATGGTACTTATGTAATTTACATTCTCAAGGGAAAAAGTGGAATTATCATAGGATTAGAAAATTCGTGAAAGTTCATATGTAACAGAAACAAAAAATGGGCTTAATGTTTTTTCCAGGGGGGAAGTAGGACTTTTTGATAATTTTACCTACCCCCTTTCCACCTCAATAACTTGTGTGAATTTTTAGTACTCCTTCCCTCCTCCCTCTTCCCGTCTTCTTTCACATTCAAACACTTATACACGCATATCGACGGTGTTGAGCAATCCAGCTGCTGTTTAATTTATTTCAGCCAAAATGTTTAAATATATCAAATTAGAGTGTTATTTGCAAAGATGAGTTAGAGCTTTTTTTTTCTTCGTTTGGTTGAATTCTCGAAGTTCTTAGCAGTTTGAAAAGTGTTTAATAGTGCACTTGCTATATGTGCTGTAATTTGCAAGTCTAAACAACCCTTGTGCAGCTGTTTATATTATTCCTCAATAATTGTACATATGTACGAATATAGAGGGTCATTTGTGAAGTTCAGTGAAGTTGTTTCTCTCATTGTGTCTCATGTGAACTACCAATGTGAAAATGATGTTTTATTTCGATGTTCATCATTAATTGGACTTTTTACTGTTAGAGAATTATCTTTGCTGTAGTTGCTAACTGATTTTCTTGTTTTGTAAGCTCTAGATTTTAAAAATGAAAGCCTATGTAAGTGACACGGAAGACCTAAAGCAAGACCCTAAATAATCAAGAGACATGCAATGTAAATTTTTATTGACTTGACTGACGTGGGTTTTAATTGAATGTGCAATTTTGTCCTGGTTATTATTATTTGAATACATTGTGCAAAATGCTTAACTTGCCCCAGACTCCATGGTTTACATAGGACAGGTGAGGTTATAAAAAACATGGAACCAAATTTTTTCATGTCTTCCCTGCATCTGAGCATGTAATCGAAATGTTCTGATTGAATCGCTGAGATTATTAGACTGTGATTGACAGAATTTAGTAATCATATATATCTTTTGCAAACCACATGAGTGCATAGGAATTATCACTTTACATGCTACAACAGAAGAAAATAGGTTCATCTCGATGAGTTCTATGAAATGAAAGGAAGTACTACCTCCTGGAAATACTGTCGCTGTTATGTCTCTGTTTTTGGAGGACAGTTTCTTGCAGAATCTTCGGATGTGAATTAAGATGCTGATTGGGTGATTTCTTCGACGAATGCTTTTGCTAAGCAATATGAACTTTATACATCTGACGATGAGCATGCTGTGCTTCTGCACCGGTAATAGCCTGGTTTGTAGCTCTTGGATGAAACTTTGGATTAGTTAATTTTTATCGTTTCTATGTCTTCGGTACTGCTCAATATGATATATGATCTCATGGACATGGTACTAGTAACTCTTAACTGTCATCATTGTATATGGTTATTGGTTGTAGCCAATTCCTTTCGAGTCCGTTCTTTTTCTTTGTCTTTTTTTATGGATAGGGGAGTTGGTGTTGCTGAACTGTGAGTTGGTTCTTTTTCTCGTTCATTTGCTGTCATTGAGTGCAGGAACTGCTGTACCTATATGGATTTGTCATGAACAACCCAGATGACTATCTCATGATAATTTATTACTGGAAAACTTAGTATCCACTTGTAACAACCTGGGATTTGTAACATTTTCAGACTTCAACAAATTCCACAGCTTCATTACCCAATAGAGGCTATCCAGAGTATTCCTTTTTCTGACTCCAAATTTCAGATTCTTGAAGCACAGGTCAGCCATTTATGTGTTCTTATCATGCATTTTCATGTAATTTTTTTTATTTATCAAAATTAACTCTTCCAAAAGCGTAGTTAATGGCTCCAGTGGAGTAATGCAAGTTTTATTGCATGCATATGACTTAATATATACCTGTTTAGGTATATGTCTTTTACTTAGGTATGCATGCATGGGTCTATATTTTTTCTTTAAATGTATGTGCATTTGCTTTGTTGATGTACTTGCGTGGTGGTGTTTACAGAAAGCTGAGTTGAGGTGTCTTTTACCAAGAAGTTTGCTAGATCATGGTTTTTTTTCCAGCATGCAGACGCAGCACACCACAAACCAAAAGCAACAATAAGTGCACAGACCGTCGAGTATTTCCTGAGGATTTCTTGACTGCCTTGAGGACAATAGGCATGCAGGAAGATGAGCTTTGTCAGGTTTCATCATTACTCAAAGAGGTGTGGTTCATTTTCTGCACTACCTTTTTTGCCCTTTCTTATTCTACGCCAGTATGGTACTTTAAGCTGGGTCCTTGATGTTCAATTATGCTCCTGGGTATCTTCTTATCTTAGTTTAGATTCACGTTGAAAAAGTAAGACTGTTGATATCTCATTACGTGCATGCTCTGTTTTAGTGATATGACATGTAGAAATATTTCTAACCCAGGGGAAAGTGAAAAGCAAGCTGAAGTAGATGAGGAAGCTCTCTAGTAAAATATTAGCTTATATTTTAAGGGAGTTAGTCTGCCAAAAAGTGAGAGTCACATCATAGAAATTTCATAGATATAGATATATATTACAGCCTTTTATTTTTCATTGGGTTCATTTTTAGAAGTTTCGATCTTTGAATTTCATTTTTAACCACATTGGTAAAATGGTACATTCAAGATGTTTTGATCATTATATTTCATTTTTAACCACATTGGTCGGTTACTCTTACTAATTGTTATTCCTCTTCTTTCTAGGTAATGAGGACAACTTCTTTCTAATTCTTCTTCTTCTTTTTTTTTTTGTGTGATTGTGTGGATTAGAAAATGTGAAGATTAGAAAACTAATGTGCTTTTTGTTCAAACCTTGAAGGGGCACCAATTTAGGATTATAGAAGTGGAGTTCACCTATGATCGATTGATCATGCACATTGTGAGACCAATAAATGAAGAAGTAAAGATAGAGTGATTTAATTTCTGTGAAGGGGGCTACTAGGACCAGAGGACTTAAAATGTTGTGAAAGAATGCCAGTAGACGTGTTGAGAAAAGAAGTGATGCCAATGATCCAACAAGTGCTATGGTGAGATAGATGTAGATCATTGTGATCTAGGTTTAATGACAATTATATCCTTTGACCTCTGATAAGATTTTCCTTGACTCTGAATTTAATAAACAAAGCTTTGTCTAAATTCAAGGGTTGGTACTCATCCAGTAGTTGATACTTTTTTCATGGTTGCTTAAGAGATTGTAACTGTCAGGCAGTGGTTTTTTTTAATCTACTTTACTAGGCTGACAGTGGGTGCTATTAAGTGGGATTTTAGCTATGTCAAGCTGATACAGCTTTGGTGTAAGATCATTGTAAGAATTTTTTTGAGAAGTCCAATCAATTTGGCTTTGGTGTTGGGGGCCAGGGGCTACGTTTTTTGTTTGTTGTGTGCTATATCAATTTTGAACCTGTGAGTATTTTTATGCAGATGCCAAGGACATCGTGGGAATGGGGTTACAGGTTTCAAAACTTGCAAGCACAGGTACGGCCAAGCAAGGTTTGTGTTATATGATTCTGAATTACAGTTACGTGTAGGTCAACTGCTGTTGTATATTGGTGTATTGGTGTTTGCAACCCATTGCTAGACAAGTTCTTTTATGTTCCATAATTACAATCTAGTTGTCTTTGATAATCTCTAAAAGTCAGCACTGTGTATTGACTTTGGATTCAAGGGCACGAAAGAAACTCTATACATTCTTGGCTTGCCTCTGACTCAGCAAACACCAAAGAACATTGTCAAATAGATAACCTTGACAAAGAGAGTGCTAATAGAGGTATTGTGATATTTTTTTTGCTGGTGATTTTTTTAGAGAAATTGAAGAATTTCTAATCCAATTGTGCCGGGTTGTGCTGCTCGAAATTGAATGTAGACGTTGCAGCACTGCCACGCTAACCATTGTGCTTTTAATCTCTAAAATGCTGATTAGGGTTCATGGTAGTTGGGATGCATTCTTGCCATTGTCTTTTTATTTTTTATTTGTTCTCTATTGCCTCCTGAGAAATGTAAAGGATGTATTGGTCACTTCATCACATGGAAGGTTTTTGCATGTTTTGACTGTATATATTGCTTCCCCTGCTTACTGTTCGATGCATCTTTTTGAAGTAAAACAAATGGCACACCTGTAACATGCCTAGTTATTTAATCAACAACATTTATAGACAGGCTTTATTTGAGATTTTACTTTGAACTTCAGTCCAAAATTTGTTTTGACTTTGAAACTTCTTTGTTTTGATTTTTTTTTTTTTTTTTTTGAATTACAAGAATATACTAAGTTTTTGAATTGATTTCCCTTAAAAGAAAATTTTAAGGCTGCATTAGTTAAGTGTTCATTGTGGTTAACAAAGTTTAGAAACAAAGAAAGTAGATGGAGAACACGAAGACTATGAAGAAGAAAAATAAAAAGATGACTACGAGAAAAAAGATTACAACAATGAAGGCTACAAAGAAGTTTAAGAATATGAATGAGAAGACTACGAAGTAGATGACTACAAACAAGAAAAAGAGCCATAAGCTGACTACGAAAAAGAAGAACAAGATCAAGAAAGTGAACACTATGAAGAAGAAGAAAAAGAGTAAGAAGACTACTAATAAGAAGAAGATTGCTAAAAAGAACAAGAAGAAGATGAACAACAACACTGCGAAGAAGAAGAAGAAAAGCTGACCGCGAAGAAGACTATGAAGATGAAGATGACTACAAAAAAAAAAAAAATACTACGAAGAAGAAAAATAAGAAGAGCATGAGTACGAAGAAGACGATTATGATAAAAAAAATAGATAAGAAGACTTCGACGATGAAGACTACGGTGACGAAGACTACGAAGAGGAAGATGGTGAAGAAGAACGAGAACAAGAAGGCGACTATGGAAAATAAGAGTAATACCATGAAGAAGAGGGAATACTACTACTACTACTACGAAGAAAATTACAAAGAAGAATATGAAGACTACGAATAAGAACATGAAGACTACGAATAAGAAGACGACTATGAAAACAATAATGACAGAGAAGAAGATGATTACGAACAAGAAAAATAAGCAGACGACGACTACGAAGTAGACATCTATGACAATGAATGATGGAGAAGAAAAAAACTACAAAAAAGGTTGAAGAAAAAGAAGACGACTATGAAGAATTAAAAAATGACTACAAAGAAGAAAAAAAAACTGCAGCAACAACACTATGAAGAATAAAAAAACTACGAAGAAGACGATGACAAAGAAGAAGACTAAGAAGTAGAAGCATACAAAAAAAAAATGGAGTAGAGAAGAAGATGATTACGAACAAGAAAAATAAGAAGACGACGACTACGAAGAAGACGACTATGACAACAAATGATTGAGAAGAAAAAAATTACAAAAAAGGTTGAAGAAAAAGAAGACGACTATAGAGAATAAGAACTCTATGAAGCATAAGAAAATGACTACGAAGAAGGAAAAAAAAAAACAGCAGCAGCAGCAACACTACGATGAAGAATAAGACTATTCATAACCACCCCAATATCCAACAATGTCACGAAAGTGGCTACATGTTGGTCCTTTTTCTTAATTATAAACCAAATTAACTCCCTTAGAGGCACAAGCGACCACCAAAATGACTATCATGTTATGCTGACACATGCAAGTAAGAGAACTATCTATATGATCTCTAATTATTCTAGTTCTGTCTATTGAGCCCCTAAATTTTTTTATATCAATTTAGGCCTTTAACTATCCAATCTCTCTCAATGTGTCCATTCCATCCCAAACTCATTGTGAACCTTGATGAAAAGCCTCACTTGTACATCAAAAAAATCAAAAATTAAGAGTAGTTAAGGCCATAAACCTACACGGAATATCAACAGCAAGTTTGAATGTGACACGTTGGTCTTGCTTTGACATGTGTAAGACTGAAACTAGTTTAGAAGGATATCGTAAGTGCTAATTAGTTCTTGCCTAAGTGATAGTTCTGGGTAATTTTATTTGGCTTTGAATTATTTCCATAATGGAAAAGTTTACATGGATATAGTTTGTTGACTTGCATTCATTGGACTATTTTGTCTATATTTTGTGTACTTCCTTCGTCATAGTAATTCCACAAGGCTTCAATTTTAGTTGAATCAATGGCTTTTTCTTTTTCTCTAGAAAATCTTGACATGGATGTATTACGTTGCATGCTTATAACTTAATAATGTGCTTCTTGTTCTCTATTGTTATATAATATTAAACAATATTGAAGTGCGGCCTTGTTCTAGACTAAGAAGCATGGACACGGACATGGGACATGGATATGACAAGACATGGAGACGCCTATACAACATTTCTAAAAAAAGTAGGACACGGACACGTTGGAGACACGCTACAAAAAAATTATATTTTATATATAACATTATATAATTTATTGCAAATATAGTGATAATGATAAGAAAACTTAATGTCTAGTCATCTGTGTGAATTTTTAGACTAAAACATCGTCATTATAGTCAATAATCATCAATTTTTTTTGTAGACAATGTGTACCTAATATATAATTTAAATAATTGTTCTCATTTTTTCAATTCCTCTTTTTTAAAACTTTTATGCATCTTTTGTTTTGTTATTATATTTGGAGTACAACTTTAATATGTCTAGTATTAGTAATTATATGTTCTCAAATTTTTAAACTTTGTTAATCACATTTTAACAAATGTCTATTGTTTGGTAGTAGACACGTTCTAAAGAAGTGTCGGACACATCACCAAAAAAGTGTCCGACACGTCTAAAATTAAAAATTTATCATTTAATTAGGGACACGGATAAAAGAGCATCAGACACGTGTCCGAAGAGTGTCGGTGTTCGACACGGATACATCACATTCTCAAGAGTGTCCATGCTTCATAGGTTCTAGAACATCCTCAACCGGATTTGGTTTTTATAGTACTCTTGGTTGCACTTCATTGGTACTTGGAGAAATTGGTATCGAAAGTGTTTTCCCCGCTTGTCTAATGGATTCAAATGCACAAGTTCCAATAGAAGTGCTTCCTTTTTGTGTCTCAAAAGGTTGCGATTATCTATGTGGACATGGTAATCTCTGCATTCCGGTTTCCAGTACATTTGATTTACCTATCTTCTCTTTCTTTTTTTTTTCCTATGCAAATTGGAGGTAATTGCTTATAGTTTATTAGGGTAATTATTTAGGAGCAATATCACAATTGTACTTGTAAAATGGTGGGATAATTTATTTAACAGTTCCTGGATAAGTTTTTCTCAGCTGACATTGAATACTGGGGTCGATGATTATATTATGTTTTAGGAATGAGTTCTTGTCTCAGTGGTCATCACAAATTTTCATAAACTAGGGGATATGCTTGTAGTTGTTTGTCATTCAGATAAGCCCCACTTGGAACTATTGAAATTTCATCTCCAAATTACCTTGTTCGAGATCATGGTTACTCCTTGTGCAGAGTAATGTCCTTTCCATCCAGATTCTTTATACATGGTCCAAGTCTTTTATGCCATTGTGAAAATGATAAGTTGTGTTTTTTTTCAAGGGTACGGGCTGCAATACATGTTAGGGATGCGAAAGCTCTTTGCCCTCATCTTGTCAATTTTTTCCTTATCACTTTGATGCCTAAAAGGGGTTATACATTTGTGGTGTAATTTTAAGTTTTGAATTTCATATTTATGGGTGAGGGAATGCTAACCACTTTCTCTTTTGTATATCATTTTAGTTATATGGGGTACTTAAAGTCATATAATCTGTTGGACAATTTTGTAGGTGGCCGATCAATTTTATAACATCTTGCACAAACACTGCAACAAACTGCACGTCTACCAGTGGAAATGCCTTGTAGTCTTTTTGTTTCTTTTCCTTTTCCTTTGCCTTCCTTTCTATAATCATCTTCATTTTTATAATCTTCTTCTTTGTAGTCTTTTATTCTTTGTTTTGTTCTTCTTCTTTGTTGTCATCTTGTTATTTTTCTTTGTAGTCTTCTTTTTCTTCGTTGTAGTTATCTTCTTCTTTATATTGGAAATGTTCTTCTTATTCTTCTTTATAGTATTCCTCCTTGATGTATTTTTTTTCTTCTTCTTTAGTCTTCTACTTCCTCTTATTTGTGGTCGCCGTCTTCTTTTTCTTTATCTTTGCCTTCGTTTTTATATTGAACTTCTTCTTCTTCTCCCTTTCTTTGTAGTCTTGTTCTTGTTCTTGTTCTTTTCCTTTGCCTTCTTATTTTTTTTAACCTTCTTCTCTTTGTAGTCTTCTTTTTCTTTTCCAATGCATTCTTTTTATTCGTCTTCTTCTTTTTCTTATTTGTAGTCTTTCTCTTCTTTTAGTCTTGTTCTTCTTTGTTGTAGTTGTCTTCTTCTTCTTTATCATCATCCTCTTTATAATTCTCTTATTTGTAGTTTTTTTTCTTTATTTTGTTCTTGTTTGTAATTGTCATCTTTTTCTTTGTAGTCGTCTTGTTTTTTTTCTTTAGAGTTTTCTTTTTCCTCGATGTCTTCTTAGTCTTTGTAGTGTTTTTTTCTTCTTTATAGTATTCCTCTTCTTTTTATTTTCTTTATAATCTTCTACTTCCTTTTTTCTGTAGTCTTTTTTTTCTTCTTCTTCACCTTCTTCTTCTTCATCTTCATCTTCGACTTCTTTTTCTTTTTTCTTCTTTGTAGTCTTTTTTTTTTATTTTGCTTTTCTTATTTGTGGTCTTTCTATTATTATTATTTTTTTCTTATTTGTAGTCTTTGTCTTCTTCTTCTTCTTCGTAGTCATCTTGTTCTTCTTATTCATTGTAGTTGTCTTCTTCTTCTTTTTCTTTATCATCTTCCTTTTTATAATCTTCTTCTTTATAGTCTTTCTTTTCTTTGTTTTGTTCTTCTTCTTTGTAGTCGTCTTATTATTTTTCTTTGTAGTCTTTTTTTTAGTAGTTATCGTCGTCTTCTTATTCTTTATAGTGTTTTTCTCCTTTATAGTATTCTTATTTGTAGTGTTCTTCCTCTTCTTTTTCTTTAGTCTTCTACTTCTTTTTCTTTGTAATCTTTTTAATTCTCTTCTTATTTGCAATCTGTTTCTTCTTCTTCTTTTTACTCTTCTTTTTCTTTGTCTTCGCCGCCTTCATCATCTTTGACTTCTTTTTCTTCTCTTTTCTTTGTAGTCTTCTTTTTCTTTCTTTTTTTATCCTTCTTATTTGTAGTTGTCTTCTTTTTTTCTTTTTATTTTCCTTTGCCTTATTTTTATTCTTCTTCCTCTTCTTTTCTTTATTTGTAGTCTTTCTCTTCTTCGTATCCGTCTTATTTTTCTATTTTGTTGGCGTTGTTGTTTTCTTCTTGTTCTTTATTGTCTTTCTCTTTATAATCTTTTTCTTTGTAGTCTTCTTTCTTCGTCTTGTTCTCCATCTTTGTATTTGTCTTCTTTTTCTTTATAGTCTTCTTTTCTTTGTTTTCTCCTCTTCTTTGTAATTGTCTTCTTCTTTGTCGTCGTCTTGTTATTTCTCTTTGTAGTCTTTTTTTTTTTTGTTGTAGTTATCGTCATCTTCTTATTCTTTTTTATAGTATTCCTTTTGTAGTGTTCTTTCTCTTTTTCTTCTTTATAGTCGTCTACTTCCTCTTCTTTGTAGTCTTTTTAATCCTCTTCTTATTTGCAATCTGTTTCTTCTTCTTTTTACTATTCTTTTTCTTTGTCTTCGCCTTCTTCTTCATCATCTTCGGCTTC